AAAAAAAAAAAAAAAAAAAAAGTGGTATACAAATACAATAAGGAAAATAAAATATCTAGAAACTGTACACATTGTTTTGAGTTTTGCCTCCATTAAAAAGAGTTTAATATAAAACAATTCTGATGTCTTCTCAAGTCTGCCAAAATGAAATGGAGCAATAATTCCTAAGATGAACTCTATAAAATCTAACATATTTCATTCTTTGACTTACACACAAAAATGTTAAAAGGTAAAATTTGGCCTCAACTACAGTGACTAAGCTTATTCTTTTGGCATGGTATATATATTTTTTCCTTCACCCTCTTTATTTAAATTGCACCATTTCAGATATTTTATAACCTACAATCTACTAAAAGAGCCCTTTTATTTTAAATATGGAAGGTAAATAAAGTCATTAATAGTCACCCAGAGCATAAAAGAAATGAGATGTAACATAAAAGCCTTAACACTGCACTGCACGAGATATTCTGATTCAAACAGCTTGTTACAGAAAGGGCCCTCAAAGACATCATTACCACATTCTGTAGTTATTACTCCCTCCTCAATACCCAAAAGCCTATTTGCCACAGACCTACTATATTACGACAAGTAAATTAAGAGGCAGTGAGAAAAGTCCAACATTTGGGTGATTTTCTGCATGATAAAAAATACTATTCTAGTTGCTAATGTATATCAACAGTTTATTGCTAGAAAATGCCCTTTTTAAGAACAGTGTAGATTTATTCTAAACATTAACATTAATTACAAAGTTGCCAAAAGATTAAGATCTCTACAACTTTGTAACTCAAATTAACTTCATGCAGAAAAGATTAATGAAAGTATAGATTGAAGATATTAGGAACAATGATTCTCTTCAGATAATTTCAGAGAATCACTATGGTAGAATTGTGAGGTGCTTGTCAAACACATGCTAATAGTTTCAATAATTTATGTACTTAAACATATTAGTTTTACATAATTAAAATGCATCAAGTATTTTACATTCTTAAAAAGAATAAAAGTCACCATTTGCACAATAGCAAAAAAATTAGAAATAGGTTAAATATTAATTGGTAACCAGTTAAATAAATCACATATCCATACAGAACAGACTGCTATGCAGCCGCTATTATAAAATAGCTTATTGGAGGAGGAGAAAAATAAATAAATAAATAAATAAGTAAAATAGCTTATTAATGACTGAAATGGAAAGAATCTAAAAACATTTTTTTTAAGTTGTAGGAAATGTACCGTATGATGTTATTTTTGCAAACGAAAACAAACCATATATTCCTATAGGTACGTATACTTAAAGATAAATGCAGAAAAAGTATACATCCCAAACTGGTAACAGCAGTTAGTTACCTTTGTGGAAGAGGGTGTCTGTATACTTAAGAAAGTGGTCACAAGCAACTTTAGTTTTGTATGTATTGCTTGAATTTTTTTAAATAAAATATGTACCATTAATGACTTTCGCAATTTAAAAAATGGGCAGGCCAGGCACGGTGGCTCACGCCTGTAATCCTAGCTCTCTGGGAGGCCAAGGCGGGTGGATCGCTCAAGGTCAGGAGTTCGAGACCAGCCTGAGCAAGAGAGAGACCCCGTCTCTACTAAAAAAAATAGAAAGAAATGATCTGGACAACTGAAAGTATATATATACAGAAAAAATTAGCCGGGCATGGTGGCGCATGCCTGTAGTCCCAGCTACTCGGCAGGCTGAGGCAGAAGAATCGCTTGAGCCCAGGAGTTTGAGGTTGCTGTGAGCTAGGCTAACGCCACAGCACTCACTCTAGGCCAGGCAACAAAGCGAGACTCTGTCTCAAAAAAAAAAAAAAAAAAAAA